ACAATGGACGAATATGAATGGAATAGATTGTTCACCCAGCATGTCCTCGTCGACCCTGTGTAAGAAATGCAGTTTATGCTGATATGTAGGATAGATAAAGGTTTTAAATTTATTGTATCAATTTGTTCTACTTTTTGATTCAATGGAATATGAATGGAATAAGAATGCGTCGACCCTGTGTAACTTTCTTTTATTTAGTACACTTCTTACTTTTTGATTCTATAGTGCCAGTCCACAGGATTTGCAGGGCTTATAGCCACAGCAAGTTGAAACAACGTTAAGCAAGTTAAGTAAGCGTCGATCCTGGTCAGTATCTAGATGAGTGACCGCTTGGGAGTATCAGGTGCTGCTTGAATGTGCGGGAGGTGTAATGGAAAAAAGCTGGGAATTGTTAATCAAAGTGCCGAGTTCCAATTCCAGTTAGGTTCTTTATATTCAATTATGCACAAATCCCCTTAGGAAAGGCATGAATCCATCTCTTCTCCGCATCACTTATTAATGAGTTAATTAATAAAACTTGCATAAGTAAATCATTAATGTCTCCAAAATATTCTTACAATCTAAAAAGATGTTTTTCTGCCTTTAAATAACCTGGAAAGGGTTGATAAGCCGTAAAAAACGAATCAATAAAAAAAAACAAGATTTGAAGAAGGATCCTTTTTTTAAAACGTACTGGTTTCATTCGCTCGAAGCCATTTTTAATTATTGATCTGAGAATGCAGTTGTATACATCTGACAGTTTAGTCATTTCTGAATAGATTGGAAGTCATACATGACATCCACATGAAAGTTTCGTTCTAACGAGTATATTTAAGAACGTGACACGATTTCTTAGGTTAATGTTTTGGTTTTGTAGAAACTAGCGGTGTTGTGTGAAACTATTCCTATCACAACCTATTCTATATTCAAGTTCATTATTTCCCATACGAAATTTGTTATAGCTGATCGTTGCAATTCAGCAGTGGGTTATAAAAACAATATATTTCTACGTATCAAAGATACGTGGATTTTTCTATTCGAATCTATCTTCTAACAAAGGGGCCGCATGGCCAAAATTTATACTGCTATGCCTTCTACAAACCTGAAATTCTTAATCAATGGTAGACTGGGTTTAAAAATATTAGTAGCCTGGAGAGAAGGTGGCGCCACCCAAAACTACAAGGCTATTCTTTAATTTTCATAACGAATAAATAAAATTTTCAAAAAATACATATGGAAAAAAAGGATACAATTTTGTGGAAAAAATATGTATTTTTTAGTAATTACAGTGTACATGTATTGTATATATTACTGGCAGTAGATACCAAATGTTAATATTGAATGTTATAATTTTTTTTTTAAATTTAAATAATTGGTCGATATTTTAAAATAGTTTACTACACAATTTACACATTAACAGAAGCTCAATAGAGCCTTGCAAACAGTCCACTATATTAAGAGCAACCATTTGTGTTAACTTGATGATTGCGTGAATCTATAAATAATTGCTTTCACTGGATAAAAACATGTATGATTGAAAATTCTCCTCAGACAGCGAATATATATTTGAAAATGTCCTTTCACACTGGACTTGAGTAACTAATAGTGTGCGTATGACATTATAACGTTTTTTTTATTATTATTATTAAATAGTTGTAAGCTTTGGTTTTTTATTAGATTTTTATTTGATATAGGAGGGCCCATTCCATCAGGGTCCCACTGGCAAACTGATACCATGGCCAGTGCACCACTGTTCTTAATGCATTTACATATCCTCCTATTTCGATATAATAGATTAATATCAGAAAACTAACAAGGAAACCTGTGGTACTGGACGGGATGTTTACGGAAACCCGTTTTAATTCAACAAAACATACATGATCCAAAGCTATGAGCGCCATTCCAGGTGTCACATGAGGACATTTATTATAATTACTAGTTTACCCGTTCCCCCAAAATTACAGCAACTGTTAGAACGTTTAATGAGATGCAATGAAACAAAATCTTAAAACATTATATTGAGATTCAATAAAACGAAGATAAAGAATTCACAACTAAAATAGAAACCAATAAACAGTTTAATTAATCCACCCCCTTTATCTTTTTAGACATTCAATGCTTTCCATGATTCATTGATTACTCCTTGTATTATGTAAATCACTTTTTGCTCAATATCTTTTCATGCTAAAAATGCCATGTTTAATTTAACAATAAAATGGAAATATCTCTCGAAAGGAAACGTTGAGCAAAAAAAAATACGACAAAGACGACAACAACAACGCCTATTTCAAGACCAATTTGAAGCAAGATGATCACTTAATAGACAAAGGTATCTGATTGCTTCACATGAAAGGCTTGAACAAATAAGGCTGCAATCTAAAAGAACATAGGAGTAAAGGAACATATTAATTAAATGGTTCATTTTGCTCGGGAAGTTTGTCTAAATGCAGATAAATATTTTATTTGTATAGATTATTAAAATGACTAAAGGAATTAATCACTCATAGATTTACTAACTTCAGTTGATTTATCTCCCTTCCTACTACAGATGGGACAAGAAGTATATAAATGAATACGCAGAAAATATATAAATACATATTGATAATTATTATATGGTTTCATTATTATTATTATTATTTTATAATTCTGTTATATTATTTTTCTTAATTTATTAATTTATCCATGACTAAGTTTACGTGTGCAGTAAAAATATTAAGGATATTTAAGTCTTTGATATTTTATTAGTACAATATAATTATAAAATTCTTATACGTTTATCTGAGAACTAAAAATATTCTGCAAGCTATAATAATTTAAGACAGAAATAGATTAACTAATAATAATAATTTCTATCATATATTATAATTATTATATCATTAATTTATATCATATATATATAATAATATTAACTAATAATAATAATTAGTTTATATTATGGAATAGCGTCTATTATGGAAGAAGAAAATCTAATATGTTTATGACAAGAAAAAGTAATTCATGCGTTTAAAGCAAAATATAATTTCTGAAAATAAATTCGATTGTGTAAATAAGTCTCCTAGAGAATGAATATAATTTTTGAATATAATTTTCGTGAAACGCAGAGTGCAGCCAAAATAAGTGTATCTTTATTTATTACTATACTAAACACGATACACACACACATTATATATATATATATATATATATATATATATATATATATATATATATGTATGTATATATATATATGTATATAATATATATATATATATATATGTATGGGTTTAATATATATATATATATATATATATATATATATATATATATATATAATAAAAAGAGGTTGTAGTGGTTCCAACGAGAGAAAAGTATGTATATTAAAAAGAAAGAAGACAGGTGCCGCAAACGTTTTTGGTTGTAATGTGGATTTTTTTTAGAAAAAAATATTATGCTTTGTTTTCCATAATTTTACTACTCCAAATTATGGAAAACAAAGCATAATATTTTTTCAAAAAACTACAGACAACAAGTTTTTCTTCAAGGATCAAAACTCGCACTCTGGATGAACAGGATTTTAATGCATATATTATGTTTTCTAGCGATGGATGTCGCCAATAATCGCATTAATACTTCTGATTAATTCTACGTGTGATTATTCTTTGTATGTAAATCATATGCTGCCTAATGTTTTATGTTTATTAAAAACTATCGATCCGCAGTACATAAAAATTCTTATAAAAAAAACTACTAAGACATTACACTATATTATTGAACTATATACTTAGTTCATGACATAAAAACTAATACACTTGTAAAATAGAATATGTGGATTTAACACATCACAAGACATATTTAAATAAAATTCTCACTTAAAAATTTTGAAAACTTAGCGTTGCGTCTTTGCGCGTTCCACGATCTTACACACCCGTCAACAATAGCAGATATTCAAAAAAACATCTTTCGGTCGACATACAGATATATCGTCTCAAGTTTTTGATTTTATAGGAAAAAAAAAACACATGCCTGATGATGGATGGAAGACCGTCCGTAAGTACTAGCATATTAACATCAAATAAACTGGAAAGCTACAGACAACAAGTTTTTCTTCAAGGATCAAAACTCGCACTCTGGATGAACAGGATTTTAATGCATATATTATGTTTTCTAGCGATGGATGTCGCCAATAATCGCATTAATACTTCTGATTAATTCTACGTGTGATTATTCTTTGTATATATATATATGTATATGTGTGTGTGTGTGTGTGGCCTTTCCGGTCGCTTCAGCACGTAGATGAGCATAGTTCTCCACAGCTTCCTCTCTTTTTATTGTTCGCTACTTACTTTTTGTTTTTATTACTACTTTATGACCTCTGTTTCCATTTTGATAATCTTTCCTCGATCTATTTGTTCAAATTTGTTAAGTAGATTGGACGCTTTTTTGGGGGGTGGGGGGCTCCTCTTCGGTGTCTTGTACGTATTAAATTCATCAACCCTTCTTTCCTCATCATGACTGCCCCAAATTTCACTTTTCTTTCTAATTGCTAACATTCGTTTTTTTTTTTTTTCTTTAATTTATTTTTTGGAGTTCTTTTTCTCGTGAGTTCCTTTCATTTATTCCACGCTCCGTCCCGAATATTAACATCTGCTTGTAAAACCACATTTCGCTCGCTTCAATTTTATCCTTCATTTGTGATGAAATTGTCCTGCATTGGTCAGAATTATTATACTAAATTTGATACATAGACACATTAGTGACGAATGTCGTTTAACAATGGCTTTAGAGGCCACATTACTTTCTCGGTAGTAAACAGTTTAGTCCAACTGATAGAATTGGAACGGACGACTCGAGCTGTCGTTTGTAAAGAATAGATGATTTTTTTTTCTTTACATTCTTCTCTTTCCTATATTATCTCTTTCCCTCACATTTACTCTTTCGCCCACACTCTCTCTTGTCTTCACTCTTTATCTCTCTATTCCCCCGTAAACCCTTATGTTTAGGCTTTTACCCGCCATTAAAAAATAAATGATAGTATACATGTATTAAGAGGAGAGAAAATGAAGACAAAAGAAACACGTGCCAAACGAAATTTTGGTTTGTTCACAAAGCGACTGCCGCATAGGAGTCCTGCGGCCACAAACCGCAAGAATTGAAGGAACCGGATGAGCGTGTGAGCGTAGTGCATGCGCAGAAGGTAACCGGAAAGGGAGCGGAGCAACACACTGATTGGTGTTGTCAGTGGGAGTGATAACGTAAATAGCTTTCATGATGATAATGGAATTGATTGGAAAAGAAGGTAAAGAAGAAAAAAGAATGTAATTAGAGATTAAAATAAAGAAACAAGCAAATGACAAAGTCACTAAAAGAAAGAATGAATGAACGAATAAATGGACGAAGGAAGAGGAAAGAAGAAAGTACACCGAAAGAACGAGTTTGAAGAACGAAAAATAATGGAGAAAAAAACAAGTGGGTAAAAACAAGACTTCCAGTAAGGCGTAGTCAATGGAGCAGTAAAAAGCCGATGGAGAGGAAAAGACTGAGTGCTTGACGGTGAGATATCGGAGGTTGTGAAGGAGCAGCTTAAGATGACAGGAAATTATGTTCAAAACTTTATCGGCTGCATTCTCCATTGGTTCTTCTGCGCATGCGTCGAATGACGCTTACCTTAAAAGCCGTCTTTTCTTATTTTTTTTTTCTCTTTTTTTTTACGGTTTCCGTTTTTTTGTTTTTTTTTCTTCTTTACTTTTTTGTTCTCTCTGGAAAGCGAAAACCCAAATAATTTATAAGGTGTCAACACATTAGAAAAGCAATAAGAGTTAGTGGGTGTCCTCCAGAAAGAGAGAAGGCGATCGTCTGCGCTAAAGATTTGTCGAGAGACCGAAAAAATGGCGCGCACATTATTTATAAAACCGACGTTCCGAAATGAATTTAATTGTTTAAAACCTATCGAATAGGTTGCATTGGAAACACATGCAGATACACACTGCATGGGTTTTGCATATGTGTGTCTAAGTTAAACCAAAAATAAGTAAAACTAGAATAAAAAAAGATAAATGAATCAAACATTATTCATTAGACTCATGGGCCAAACTCTACTGTTGACGTCATCACTTTTTATTGCTTAAACCTTATCGACTGGGTTTCGTATAAAATCAGAGAGCAAAGAAATCTTAAAGAAAATGAAGTAGACATTTTATTCGATGAACTTTTGTCAAAAAAATAATGAAGAAGGTTTAATTCAGTTTATTTTTTAATATTACTCAAACACGAAATTTCTAAACTTTCTGGAGTCTTCTAGAACTTTGTTGAAGCGTTTAGAATTTGTTTTGTGTTTATGTGCAAGGTTCTATATTATGCTAGAACTATAAACGGTTAAATGCATTAAAATTACGTAAGTTCTTTTCAATTATATTATTAACAAATTGAAAAATAAAGCTTCTGAAATATTTTGATTTTTCACCCTTCTTGCGTATCTGGTAACATCGAATTTTCGGGTTGGGGTGAGCTTTTTGTGGCACAAGGTCATAACCCGAATACATATATATATATATATATATATATATATATATATATATATATATATATATATAAACAACTAAAACGGATAGCTCATGTATCTCGAACAGTGAATAATGACATAAACAAAATACTGACGTTCCCCACGGGCTCAAATAAATAAGGAAACCCGCATTAATAGAAAAAAGAGCCATAACAGCTATTGGACTTCTGAAACAGATTATCCCGAACATTTTTTTTAAGAGAAAGGTTTTCAAAATTTCAACCAACAGCAGAACTAACTTTTCAGGCAATAAATACTGAATGTTTCCTTCAAAGAAAAAGGCTAACGTTATCGTTACCATATTAAACATAAGCCGTTAAAACATGACGGGAATATTTGATTTGATATTTCATGAAATACAAAGGAACTGCAAAATTTTCATTTAAAAACGAGGCTAAATTGAGAATTTTCTAGTGATTATAGTCGGACTGTCCAGTGAAAATTGGCAACAAATATTCGTGTTCTTTAAAATGTTTTGGATCTGGTGTCATCATATTCCAGTTGAAAAGTTGTGTTTTTCTCTGGCTTGAATCTTTAAATTAGGTCCTTCAACTTTGTGATGCAATTCTCAGTTAATAGTTTATACAAGTTGCAGAAGACTAAGGCCATATGTCGCGTCTTTGCTCTGCTAAAAGACGGTGCACACCTCTTTGCTTGAAAGTTTTCGTTAATGAAAAATGCTCTGTCATAGACTAGGACAAGAATAACATCATTTAAAACTAGAGATCTCAGTTTGCCCTGCTACTGGAGGAAGAAGAGGAATATTCGTATCTTTCGAAGGGGATTTCTGCACATGCAAACGCAGCGATCTCAACTGGAATTTGATCTCGACACGCCTGTCCCACTTTTCGCGCCGATAACTGCTCGCTACGAGAATACAAACTTTCTTGATTTCTTCTTCTATGTGACGTGGCCCTTCAGGAAGTGGACGATCATGGCTTTCCACAATTTCTTGTTCTTTTTAGTTCTTAGCAAATTTTGTCTTTTCCCTTTATCACCTGTTCTGCCAACCATTTAAACAAGCCGGGTCTTCTATATACTGTGTTCCTTAAGATTGTTAACAATCATGGCTCTCCACAATTTCCTGTCATGTGTAGGCTATTAGAAATTTTATCCTTTTAACTTTCTCTCCTAACCCGTTCTGCCAGCCATTTACACAAGTTCGCTCTTCTATGTGTTGTGTCTCTTCAAGACGTTGGCGATCATGACTCTCCACAGCTTCCTGTCCTGTGTGAGCTATTATCAATATTTCCTCGTTCTGTCAATGATGTATATAAGCTCGTTAGGTTAGTTATGCGTTATTTTCCTTTGTCTCTTTTATTTCAATATGCCCTGTGAGTGTCAAGTTTTCTAAGACCTCTTTCCTCATTATGTACCTAAGAAATTTCAACTGTTTCTTCTCGATGTTTTTGTTTCCATTTGCTCTAAAACTTCGTCGTTGATCACGTGTTCAGTCTATGGTATTCTCAGCATCCTTCTGTAGAACCACATTTCTGTTGCCTCATGTCTCCTCTTCATTTGTAATGAGATTACCTGGCATTCCCTGCCATAACAGTTAAGTAGTCTTTGTTTCTAACGAGATATTTCCTAAGTAAAATAAAGAATACAAATAAAGATTACATTGTATGATATTTCTTAAAATTCAAAATCACCCCTTTTACTCGCATTCGAACACAGAACATTAGGATTTCTGGGAAGTATATAACAGCGTAAGTCATGAGGCAGACCCCACAAACATGTTCCGTACCCTATATTCTATCAAGTCTTAATTAATGGATTATTCTGCATTCCCTTTCAGCTACTAAGTATGACACAAGGGCAAATGGTGAGGTGTGAAACGAGGTAGATTGTTACACCAAACTTCTAAAATTTATTTTTCTCTCTCACTTCCCCCTCTCTCTTCCTCCTCTCTCCCCCTCTCTCTCTCGCTCTCTCTCTCTCTCTCTCACTCTCTCTCTCTCTCCACTTGTTCGCACTGTAATTCTGTCTTTATTAGCTTTTATTAATTCATAAACTGAGAGGACTTCAGTTTTTGGAAGCGCGCCGATGTCGCGTGTGTGCAAATGCGAACAGAGAAAGGCGCTCAACTTGATACGCTCCCGGCTGCCGACTGAGCCACGCTGCGCGCTACTTAATAATACATCTGCTTTGTCTTGTGATAACTGAGCCACCGGCCGGCATCAGCTCATTAATTGGCCTGCGATCAATTCCCGTGAATTATCGATAGAGAGCAGGGCACTTCCTCTGTGACGTGTGACACAATCATTCAAGAAGAAGAAAGAAGAAGAAGAAGAAGAAGAAAGAAGAAGTGATTCAAGAGCGGATATAGATCAGAACAATCTCATGTATCTCCCTGTCTTTATATAATGACAACGTATTTTCACTTTAGTTGAAAGAAGACAAAAACATTCATAGATTGGAACCAATTGCGATGTTTTTACATCACGTCATAATATCATCGGTTTGTAAACAGCCATGATCTTATCAACATCTATGTATTTTCTTCTGCCACTGTTCTGTTCACTTGTAGAGTAAGAAAACCCAGGTCTAAAAGAGAGACGTTCCTGGACCATTATTGCGTTCACAAGTTTTATAATAACCACTTCCCTGTGACTTTTCTATAAATATTTTCAGGGTAATTGATCTGATTAACTTTTCTTTATGGTACATAGACTATATGAATTTAAGCCCAGTACTAGATTGACAGTAAGACCTCATCATTTTACAGTGGAATTGGCTAAATATAACCGTAAGTTCTATGTTAACAGATTCTTCTCTTGTACTTCTCGCTTAAATTAACATAGCGTTTAAAATGTACAATGTTTGAGAAACAGGTGTCAACAAAGGAAATGAACAGCTTCATAAATCTTTTATTGATTTTCAATAAACATTTTCAATATAGCAAGAACTCAAAAATGAATGATGTCCGAGGTTTATTCCTTTGATTCTATATTACATGATTTCTTTTTAATCACTTGCTTTTATTAAATGATCACTAGTTCTTATTTTTTTTCATGAAAATTCTTAGATGAAATCAAAAGTAAGGGGAAATCTTTATTTTGGGATTCATTACCATTCAACATGCGAACTAATAAAGGAAATATACGTTTAACATTTCAATTGAAACCTCATATAAGTTTGATTTAATACTTCATGATTTTTGTCAAGTAAATTTGCCTGGAGCTTAAAATATACTTTATTAGGGAAACAAATGTCAACAAAAGGAAATGAACAGTTTACTCTTTGGAAATTTAATATTAACAATTAGTACAAGTAGAAGTGGAAATAAAAGAAGGCCTTGAAAATACTCATGTTTTGTTTAACCCCTCAATCTTCCTCTAAACAAATTTCTATATCAAGCAAAATTCACCAACTAAAGACGTTAATGTTGTTTTATTACAAACCTACGACTAGTTTATCGCTGACCAGTATCGGAAGTTTTCTGTCTGGATTTACTTCTCTAGACTTTTCAATGTTTGAATAGGGCTACACGGCTTTCCTTCCGCTAGATGACTACCTTTCTGGGTTCTCGACGTCCATCTACCCGAATCAGCTGATCATGAGGCGCTACTTGTCCGCCTTCGCACATTCACCCGATTAGAGCTGAATTTTGTTATCAGAGGATATTTGAGATGCAGGCCACGGAAGAATGCTATGGACAGTGGGAATTTATAACCCCCAGCTATGAAAGCCTTTAGATATCTATAGCGATAAAGTGATAATTAGATAAATAGGAGACTGATGCACTAATAAGAAAACTACAACTCACTTAATTGGCATTTAATTTCCTTCGCTGTTGTCGCCTTCTGAAGACATACATTTTATCCAGTGTCGATTCCATTGATGTAATAATTCCTGGGCCTCATTTTTTGGTATAGCAAGCATCTGCCTCGCTGAACCTCTTGAAATCATGTTCCTTTCAAGTGGGATTTGATTATTGAAAAGGAAAAAGTCACAAGGGGCATCATCTGGGGAATATGGTGTTTATAGGACCAAGGGAATCTAGCCAAAAACTGCTGTACAAGTCATAGTCACCGATGGAAGCACAGTAAGACGGCCGCATTCTACACA